TTTTTTTTTTTTTCTAAACGATATGAATCTCATTAATAGAACCGAACAACGTTTGGAAATGAAATACACATCGAATGTGAATGAGCTGATCAACCGAATTGACCTAGACCCGAGACTAAACAAGACAAACTACAAGCTGCCAGGTCGTATCAAATGCACCCTGAGAATGAGAAGGGTCTTAGTGAGAAGAGATGATTGTGGTACTGGCAGCTTGATACGACCTCGGCTTAGTGACCTGTCTAGTGCTCGAGAAAGACCCTTCTCATCTCTGCGGTTAGAAAGGGTGTTGGGTACTTGAGCGGGTTTTAGTGACCAGATTTTAGGTTAGATCCAACAGATTCACATTTCGAAGGACAGTTCGGACGGTATGATGTGGAGACTTACATCTTTGGGTGCATTTGATACGACCTCGGCTTAGGGGGAAGTTCGGCCGAGTGAGGCCTAACCTTCTCTTCGGGGCCATTTGAACCGACTTGTTTACCCCGACCATCTCTATCTTCCTTCGGCACCTCCTTCTGCGTCATCGACGTTATGATGCAGGCGACGGGGTTCTCCTTCCCTTCGAGGTATTATTGCTGTGATGAGACTAGATATTTCCAGACTAAGACTTTTTCCCATTTAATTTTAGAGAGCGAGATTGCGAGGAGTGTATGAGAATTTCGCCACATATAGTCATATTCCCACTACAGACTGTTTCTCTGAACTCCTGAGTTTTTTCTCTTAACGCTCACACTTTAGACACGTGGACTTCCTTATTTCTTGTCTGATCCTTTGGTCCATCTAGATAGAAAGAGATAGTGCAAAATATATAGTTTTCTATGGAGCCATCGGATTGATCGACTTATGGAACCATCCACACTTATTTACAAATAGTGTATTGACACTTGTCCTACAATAAATACAATTTGGACAGGTGTCAATACAATAAGTGGTGGATGACTCCATAAGAAAACCATCTGATGGCTCCATAAGATTTTTGGCAAAATATAAAGATATTACTTATGTGCTTTCACATTGTTTTGCTGGTTGATCGTCATCTCTCTCTTCTCACAGCTCTGGGAAGACTTACACCTAGAGACTGGACATGCTGCATGCTTCCCCACCGCTTCGTACCACCTACATTGCTACTTGTCCAGCACCCACGTCCCAAAGTCATTGTTCGGTTGAGACCTAGCTCCCCTTAGGTAAAGCTAAACACATACGGATCTTTCGATCGATTTACCGGACCCTCCGAAGGTACATGCCTGATTAGATTACGCAGCGCAACTCTCATTACCGCCCTTCACGCCCCTCTTCATGCCTCCTCGAGTTACGGTGCGGAGGTTCAGGAGCTTCAGATCGTCTTCAAATTGCAGCCTCTATCGCTTCTCACATTTAAATAGAGCTGGACGATGTTGTTGTTGCCACCCTAGTGACCGCAGACCACCGGTGCTCGTGGCAGACTCAACA